GAGGAGACAGGAAGAAAAACTGATGGGAGCAAATCTCACCAGTGTTTGCTTGTGCAGTGAACTCACTACCTGCTTCAATAGTGTAACAGTGAAACATGGAGAACTGGAGGGTCTGAGGTCATGAGACTTAGGTGGAAGCCCTAGTAAGTGTGAAGGAAGAGAGACTTGAGTAGATGCTGAGGTAGACAGAGCTACAGTCAGAAGGATGAGGAGAGCAGCAAGTCAATTCAGTCAGGAATAAAAGTTGTATTTTCTTTGGTAACATGTGGAGGAAAAGAGCCTATGCTCCTGGGTTGAAGGTCTAAGAGGAGTTTCTTCTTCATATTAGAAGATAAGAACAGGTGTCTCAGACTGTGGGAAGGCCTTTACCTGCCTCTGGTACACACCAAAACTCAAGCAGCTCTGTTGGTTTTGAGGGCAAGGCAGGCTTCCCTTTTCTTCCATACCTTTAAATTCCTGCCATGAACTCACCCTATCCATTACTGGCATAGATTCTGGAGCTGCACTGAGCTTTGCAATGGGCTTGCAACCCCTTTCCAGGGCCCCGGAACCTCCTCAGCGCAGCCCCTCCAGCCCTCCCTGCAGGACCCTTGCTCACCTTCACGACCTTCTTCCACCTGGTCTCCCTGGAGCTGTCCTACTTGTTCTCCTTCATCCCCAGAAACTACTGCCCTTAAGTAGTTCTTGTATTTCTCCCCATGGGCCCCCATAACCACAACATAGACCATTACTTTAAAAGAAAAAGTAGTTTACATTTGAATAGGAATTTTATACATTAAGTTATTATATAAATATATATATATACACATACATGTACAGAAATTTGTCTCTAAAATTTTGTACAAACTGCAATGATCTTCATACGACATGAACAAGTCTGGATTTTTGAACAGTGCAAAAAAGACTCATTAACACAACAAGCTTCCATCCAAGAGGCTGCCAGCCTTGAATGAGAGCTATGGACGTGTGCCTTCTCTATATTTTAGCAAAAAGTTATTTTTGCATGCACATACATAAGCACAGCCCTTCTTGTCAAGCCAACCAGTCACTGTTAGGGGTAAACAACAATGAGAATGAATTGGAGAATAATTTGTTCATTTACAGTACTATGGAAGCTCAGGATTTTTAGGTTTGCAAAATAAATGCTTGAACAACCACAAGAAAACAAAGTAAACATCAGAAAAACATCTACAATTCCAACATAAATAACCAACTACTTTGCACCCAGCTACATAGCTTTCCAGCCTTCTCTGAAAAATCAGCCTCGAGTATTCTATTCAAAGAAATTTAAGTGCATTGAAAGTGGTATTGTTTACTTGTGAATTTTTTTATATACATAATAGAGACTTTTCTGTAAAATTTAGGTGGATGTTAGTGAACTAAGGTGTTAAGCTGAATATAGAGATTGGATATGGTGATGAGTAAGTGTTCCTCCATTAGCAACATGCATAAAACAAATGTAAATGCACTCTGTAAAGAGGAAAGGTTATGATAAATGAAAAACCAACACAGTAATAAACTGGAATATGTCTTTGAAAGACAAGAACTGAAATTCTGCAAAAATGAAGGAAATTGGAAGAAACCTCTGAGTATTGGCTGATGAAGCATTTCAAGTAAAATTAGTAAATGAACAGAATTGCAACTCTCATCCCCAGCTTTTAACAACCAACTGATTATTTACTGCTTCTTTATATTTATCCTAACTTTTTGTTCTATTGTTTTCAGGGTACTGTGCAAATTAGGGTAGATTATAAAATTCATTTCACAGCCTGCAATTCAAGATGGACTAAGTATTTCCTCCAGCTGTGAGCACTAAACCAAAAATAGAAGTATGGTCAAAAATATTGTTCAGCACAGGATGAGACTATAGTTCATGGTGGGAAGAACAGTGACTGTTAAAGAACAGATCTGTTAATGAAGGAACTAAGCAAGAACTGATGGAAATGTAACTTCTCTTTCCTCAAGCTTTTACTCCAACCACAAATGTATTGTCTGCTTTGAAGAGAACTAAAATGAGTAAAAAATAACCTCTTGCTGGTAATCTTTAGCTGTACTTTTTTCTTTTAAGAACAAACATTCTCAAAAATGAGGAACAATTATCAAAAAATGAGTAATATTGAGAAAGGTGATGTACTTCAAAATGCATTAGTTTAAACCGTAAGAAAAAACAAGGGAAATGGAATCGCTGAATAGAGCAGCATGGAAGGAGATACACATTCTGGTACATAGTTACTGAGCGGGAAAAGAAAAGGTAACTGCTGCCTGTGTGCTCCAGAACTGTAACTGCAGCAGAGAACATCCATTTTGGACATACTCTCACAATTAACAACAACAATAACAAAAAACTCCCAAAAGGGTGAATCTTGTGGGATTTTACCTACCCAGAAATGAGTAAGCCATACCACAAAACAAGTCAGTGCAGAAACCAAATACGAGACTCCAAAGAACTGGAGATTCTCTATGCACTTGCATAATGAAATACTGACTCTTATTTAATAAGAGTATGATCCTGTTGGAAAATTCTAATTTAAGCTAACCCATAAACATTAGCTTTAAATTAACAGCATTAACAGTGTGATATACGAAGGCTTAAATTATAAGCCTTAAAGTTGACTTTTGAGTGAACTTCCCAACCTGTACTATAGTAGCATGAAATGTGACTGTGAGATTCTTTTCCCAGCCTGTATCACATCAGCATGAAATAAGGTTGTGAGACTTCTACTCCTACAATTCAAAGCCAGGTGCAGAATACCAAAATAGTATCTTCTTGGACATATCTCAGATCCTGTCCAAATCTGGGATGTGCCCGTGTAAAGTGAAAGTGAAACTCACCCACCAGATATTTCTGCACAAAGGAAAATGCAAGTTATCCTGGCTTGCAGAGTTTGATAAGTAAGCCCTATAAATCTGGACCCCTGTGCAGCGAATCTTTGGTGGCCTCATCTGCAGGTGGATGCACTACGCAGGACTTCCCAATTGCCGGGGAGAGGTTCTCCAAACCCTCGTTGCTCCGAGGCACCCCAGCGACTGCGGGTCTGGATGATGATAAATTGGGTGACTGGTGATGTATGTTTCTTAATCACTATTGCTAACTTGATATAGTCATGATATGAAATGCATTGCCTAACTTTGTGTTGTTGCTTAGCAATATGCTTACTTATTATAATTGCTCACTGCATTATTTCCTTTCTGTATTGTTTTAAGATAATCAGTAAAATACGCTTGCTCTTTTGATGGGTGCCAGTGTCCTTTGGCAAAACATAGTCTTAGTTAACCTCACAGAAGTTAATATATTTTAAGGTAAGACTAAGATATAGCACCTACCTAAAAGACGCTGCATATAAAGGTATCAGGAATCTTAAGTTCAGCATGAGACTTGAAACTTTTAGCTTTAAATATTTAAAAGAAAATTTAAAATTAATTTTAAATAGTCACTATTTAGATGATTGTGAATGCTTTGAATGTATGTTAACAAACTTAGCAATTCTTAAATGTTAATCTTTGTGTTCATATAATATTCCTAAAACTTTCTCCTCTACATAAATGAACTAATATTTTTGTTGTTGTTTTTTTTAAGTCTGAAAAAGAGAAAGTCCTCAGATTGCATTCTTGTGCAGCATACAGAAAAAAAATAATCTAATTTTACTATCAAGTTCTCAACCACTTGGTAGGAACTAATAACAGAACTGCTGATGTTGTATACAAAATACTCTGATTGTTGCTCTAAGAATACAACATCTGAAGCAAACAATGTCATTGTTTAACTTGCTATCTATGTTGGCAATAGTTTCATTTCATTTACGGCTTTAAATGGATTTCAAGTTATTTGTAGGTGTAATTTTTTTCTTAAAGAAACCTGTCTGTCACAGATTAGGCAACTCAGTGCTTGTCACTAATTATGGCTTTGGCTTAAATATTGCTAAATGATAGTTCTTTATAATATTCAGTTTTCTAAAGATTCCTGGTAATTATTTTAAGTAATATGGACCACTTTAGTCTTAGAAGCTGCCATCGCTGGAAAATATGAGTTCATTTTCTGAATGTTATAGTGACAGCACAAGCCCATATATTGCTTGGATTTATATTACTTACTTTGTTTCCTTGTGCCTCTCTTTGTTAGTAATGTATTCATAAGCCCTACATCACAAACAGCAGCAGGTTAAATCATACTTATCTGGGCTGACAGCATTAAGTGCATAAAGCTGAAATGGCAGCATCAGTCATTTTCCAAGAGACAAGACTCCTGCTTTCAGTTGTTATGACCAACTGGTAATACAGCACCTCTGCAAATGCTGCATGAAACAATGAACCTCATTATAAAGCCAGAACATGAGTTCAAAGATGTCAAAGTTGAAAACATTCATCATTACAATTCACACGCTTTTCTTCATCATGCAACCTTACGTTCACCTGACAACCTCACCTTTCTCCTATCCTTGATCTTCACACCATTAACACTATGATCAGGTCAAAGTTGCATTTTCTTAAGCATCCATGTCCTGCATCATTTTGAAATTTAGCATCTTGGACCTTCATTTTGTCACAAAACCGTTGCTGCATTGATACATTTTGTTGTTGGATTCTGTGGTCTTGGAGCTGGCAGATTCTATGGTCTCTGTAGTGCTGTAACAGTTGAGGGTCTCAAGGTGAAAAGCAAATCCAGCATTGTGATCCACATTCTAAAGCTATGGAAATAAATTGTGGAAGACCTTCAGAAATGCCGACCAAAATGGGCCATTTGGATAGCATCCAAATTACTCAAAACTTGAAACCGAAGAGAGAGGTGGTGTTCCACAGGGCCACTGAATGACCTGGAATTGGCAGTGAGCCACATCAGTCATAACTCAAAACAGTTGTCTGTCAGAACTAGTGTAAAATACACCTAGTCTGAATGTCACAATACAATTTAAAAAGAATGGCACTAACTTGAGAGCACCCGCCTTTCCTTCCAAGACATTTAGAGTTCTCCAATTTGAAAAGTCCTTTCAGGCTTCAGAGATTTAAATAGGTGAGGAACTATGGCAGTCTCTGCTTTTATCTGGCTCCATAGACAATGCTTTTTCTCTTGGCTCTTGTTTAACTTGGCTCACACAGACAACACCCTCCGTATTTTCTTCAGCTTAAAAACAAAACAAAAATCAAACACTGAAGTTCAAACTACACTGATACCACTTTAGCCCCAATAACTGTATGCATTTAAAAGAAAAATATTTCAGGAACTCAGGCTAATAGGTAAGGTATTTGTGAAGTTAACTGCTATTTAGTTTGACAGCCAGTTATGTCATCTACTGTGCCATTAGATATTGTAGGTTGTCATGAATTTACTGTAGTAAGGGCTACCTTGTGTTAAAATATTTAAAACTTTTTACAAAAAAATATGTTTGGAGTTATAAAATTACTCTCACCTAAGATGACTTTCCTCTTTCCCATGGAAAAATAAAGCTAGTATCTTTTTATTTTGTTGTTGTTTTGTTTTCCAGGGGAAAGGAGAAATGGAGTTGCTAGTGCTGAAAAAATTAACTCTAAAGCGTGTTGATTTAGAGAATGACTTACACTTCAGGCACAACTTGCCACTTTTCAATGACTGCACATACATTTCCCGCAGGAAATAGCTTATTCTTAAGTTAGCACTTGGACAAGAGAAAATCCAGAACATACTGGATAGTTTTAACCAAGTGCACATGTGCATGAGTGTATGCATACACACAGGAAAAATATATCTTGAAATACACACTGTACTGCTAAGTTCAAGTATATGAGTATATGGTGTTTCCTCCAAATAACCTCTGCCACATTATTCCTACTTCAGTCTAGACTGTCTTTTGTCCTCCTTCTCTCTGGACAAATAACTTGCCTCTGGGAAAAAAAAAAAAAAGTATCTGTTCATTTTATAGGCAACTCCTCCACACAACTTATTCTCACCAATATTCTCACAATTTCCAAATTCAGACTGGTGATAATAGACTGAGACCTTGAGCAGAAAAAAGAAGGAAACCCCAAAGGAACAGTGAGTTTAGTCCTTGTAGCTATATAAGTTTTATTTGACTACATTTCTTTTTCTGTAAAATAGTATTTCTAAACAACTGAATGGAGGAGGTGCATTTGATAACCTCTCTTTAACCTCTATTTTAAGGAGCCTTCTGTCTTGATAGTGAGAAAATTATTTATGGTGTTCATTGTGTATTTTAAAAAAATTATTTTCCAATAGAAGTTTGAAATTCCAAGCAATTATATACAACTCCAACTGACTACTTCTAAAGCATATTGATGACTACAGGATCCTAGTAAAAGCTTATTAAAAAAAATTCAGAAATCTACTGGGATGGTGCAAAGAAAAATCCACATTTCTTTCCATAGAGTTATAAATAATTCAATATTGGTTATTTTCTATTCTTATTTTTCCTTTAAAAAAATATTTTGAAAATCATAATTTAAGATAAATACTACAATTTTTGGAAAAAATATTGTGTCCGTCAAGTAAGTTGGTGTTTGGTCAAAGAAACTGATAAGCAGTTTAACTAAGAAGTCATATTTTTACAGGAAAAACTAAGTGGTGTGTGTTTTTTTTTTCTTTACAGCCATAATGTTTTCACAGTAAAAACTAATTAGAATCAGCTGAGAAAAGTCCATGCTGGAGTTTCCCATTATCAACACATTTCTCTCCTTTCTTCAAGACACAGAACAAAATCCATCATATTTTCTATATTTACATATTATTAGGAAGACTGCAACTTACTCAGCGCTGAATGGCTGTCCACGATCCGTACTGGAATAGTGTGTACATCTCCCAAGAGAATCTGATGGACTCCTCCTTCTAGGCTTCTGGAGCTGTCTGCCCCTCCAACTGCTACCAACTGGCCCATGGTGACCAGACCCTGATCAGAGCCAGGCGGGGTCCCAAAAGCAGAGGTAGCAAAGCTGTGCCGTGTTAGGCCAGCACCTGCTTGCAGACTGTGTCCCTGAGTAAGCACTAGAGAATGGTTGGTTATTGCACTCCCTATGGAATCCAGGAGACTTGCAGGGCTGGGAGGGGAATGGTTATTTACAGCTATGAGGGCTGTTGACCCATTTGTGGAGGTAAACGTTGACTGCAGCTGTAATCCCTGTGAAAGAGAAGGCAGAAGAACTAACATACCAGTATTTACAGCACGAGGAATTTGCATTTAATGGCACATATTTTGCAACGATGGAACCAGATAGCTTCTAACTTCCTGTACATCATCTCTTTTGAACAATCAATCCCAGCAACCCTAGGCTAAGGTTGTATTAGAAAATAATTAGGACAACAGTAACCAGCAGCATCTAGACTACTTATGACCATAAAGCTCTAATTTCGGATTGATACTCAGTTTCAAATCATTCCCCAATACTGCCCATTCCCACAAGAGGTGGGCACTAAAAGCTAAGCATACTGCTTTAAAAAAGTGAGGTAGAGCCAGGCTGTCTTCAGAAAAACAGGGAAACAGCAAGTAGAACAGCATCTTACTGCACACTGTATTTCTAGGGAATAGATAAAGCATTTAATTGGGGTTCAGCAAGTACAAAGGTAGCTCTTCAATGAAGTAATTAGGGAAGAAGGCTAATAGAGCCAGCTTTGAGAGGAGATGAGCTTTAGAAGTAGCTCTTTTAGCATGACGTTCTTATCTCCGCTCTTCAGCCTTTCAACCTGGAAGTTTACAGATCTGAGCTGGGAGCAGTTTTAGGATTTTAACATATTTTTTTAAAAGGCTAGAGGAGAATTTAAAAGGAATAAATAAGACTGAGTTATCTCCCCCCAGTATGATCATTTGAAATGACTGGACCATGTAGAAAATGAATAGGTGCTTGGTTTGAGGCCGAAGGCAACTACCCTCATCTTCTTGGTTTTGCCTTCACAAGAGACCCTAACATCAAAGTGTCAAAAGATGAGATACTGAAACTCCCTGCACCACAGCTATATGCTAAATGTGACATGCAAGAGAGGCCAAAGTAAGAGCTGACAACTACTTCAAAGTTCATGTTATCTAGTCAGTGTTTGGGACTAGTAGCCGAGAGAGAACTTGCTGTTCTCAGCTCACCTTCAGCATTCCCAGAGCAGAACGTTTGATGTTCTATAAACAACTTGACTGTACCTGAAGTTGTGCAAATATCTTGGGCTGAAGTGAAGACAACAGCTGAGCTGTTTCTGGTAGCAAGGACTCCCCACTCTGATTGGATTCTGCTTTGGTGATGACTGACTCCCCTGCTGAGCTCCCTACAGTGCCACAGAGAAGAAGCAGACAGTTATGACAATTTTTTTCTTCCCGTTTAAAAGCCTCCCCTGCAAACTGAACAAACCCCTCCAATCTCAGTATAGACACATAAAAGACAGGTATATACACATATGCTGTTCTCTTCGCAGAAGTTGGATGCTAAAGAAAAAAGGCTGGGTATGAGACAAAGACAATACAGTAAGAAGACAGTGTGTGCCTGTTTAGAGTAAAAAACAGAAGCACCAATACATCTGTTTTGAAGAGCGAGGTAATTGCAACCTACCCTGTGCTTAGAATTTCTAGTTATAACATAAAAGCTGAAACATTTCTATCAAAACTGCAATCAAATAATTTGACAATAAATACACCCTAGTAAAGGTTCAATAACAGACAGGCATCAAAAGAAAGTGTCTCCTTCCAAAGTAAAAATCTACACAGGAAATCCTCTAAGCCTCACCACTCCCTTCCAAGCATCTTTTTGAAATTAGGATAACTTCTATGCAATATCACACCAAAAGTCCATTTCTCCAGAGGCTTTTCAGCCTACTGATTACATCATATCCTCAAAACTCTTATTTAATGCAAGAATGACGGACTTAATCTCCTGAAGACTTGTAAAGATTGAGGTTCACTTGTAGCAATTTCTGCAAGAAAAATTCCCATGGGATCATTCCATTTCCTGTTTGAGACACCCAGAACATTTTGGATTAGATTTATCCAGACAAAAACAGACATTGCTTAGCCTCTTATTTCACAGTTTCACTGCTGTAACTGTAAAAGAAGAGCTTGCCTTATGCATGTAGATTAGCCTGGTAAATGGAAAAAAATTGAGAATGGTCAATTGCAAAAAACCTTCTAGCCAGAAAGCGTACAAAAGTTTCCAGCAATCTAAGTGAGTGGAGATACATTTCTCAACATATATACTGATTTGCAAACTCTAGATCTTTATCGGAACTGATGATCAGACACAGTCTATAAGTCTCCTTGAACAAAACTACTTAAAATATTTAGGCTCTTTTTAATACAATACAGAGATCCAACATGCATATGTGAATAATCGCATAGAGGAAAAGATGGCAGTCTTTCCTTAGGTTGTATTCTATATCAACATGCCCAGGAATAAAGTTAATAATTCAGCTCCTAATCTGCCCACTCCTTACACTGCATGAGCATTCAGTCTGAATGCTGGAAGTTAACAAATAAAACAAACATATATATAACATGGGTACTTTATCAATCACACTTGTTATTACACTTCATAAAAGATGTAAAAGGGAACACGCTTAAGTTTGATAGTGACAGTAATTCTTACTAGGAGAGAACAGAGAAAGCAGTATCACATGGAGATATGGAGTTCCACACAAGAAAACAAACAGCTGGGTTTAGTTCTGTTATTGTTTGATTTCTTAAATGTAAATTTGTCCCCATTCAGCACAAGTTGAAATGAAAAAAATGTATACAAGTAGTGTTGAAAAGTTAGTGTTGTTTTCCCTTGCTACCACTTCATATACATTAATGAGAGATGATTTTTCCTAAGTCAAGCTTCTTTTTTTGCTGAGACTTGTGTTTGCACTGTGTACAAACACATACCCACATATTTAAGTGGAGACAAGATATGCTGGAATAAAAAAATCTGCTTATATTCACTGAATTGGTTCACCTGTGAACCAGAAAACTACACAAATCAAATTCTCTAGCTTCCTTTAAAACTCAGTACATCACTGAATGGATGTTTACACATTTGATAGGCTACTTTGCCTTAGAAAATTATCTGTCAAAGACAAAGAAAGCAAGAACTGGTCTTTCTGAACCTTCTTCAGCATTCAAATAGTTTATACCAAAAGTCATCCCTGCTGAGCTCTGTCACGGCTGCTGAAGGCACAACTATTCTGTGCCTCTCCATAAGAGTGCAGTAATGGAAATACTAACATAGACATGTAAGCTTAAGTACAGTAAGTCTGTTCATATTGCAAATTCATTTTTTTCCTAAAAAATAAGACTTCCTTAAAAAAGAGGAACACTATTCAAACTGAGCCTAAAAATTTGTCTTGTCCTCTGACAGTTGTCAACAGTGGAATGCTTACCCTAAGAGCGCCAAGCATACATGATGCTTTTCAGTTCACATCGATCCACTGCAGCAACAGCTAAGACAAGAGTTAAAACAATCCCAAACAAAACAAAGCCCAACACTGGCTTTTTTATTAACCGTAAATGCACTGGTGTACACGGAACTGCCCCATGTAAATCAGGTTCACCAAGTCATTTAGGAAAAATCACAGAGCGAGACAAACCTCTGGAGGTTTATTGTTGCTGCTACAAAAAAGATAAGAAACAGATCAGGGAGTGACAGGGGGTGAAGGGGAAAGAAACCAAACATATCACGACTTTTGCAGACAAAAACCACAGTGGAGGATAACTGTTGGCAGGAGTAAATCCTTAAAAATGACAACTGTGTCAGCACCTGTTTTGTCCCTGTAGACTTCTCTATCGGCTGTCTGGAACAAAAAGTACCCACCACCATGCTCCAATTAAATGAGGAAACAAGCTGGCAGTGTGACTGAGATTAAAAACATCTAAGAAGTCTGCAGCATTATCTTAGCCTATGCGAACAACTACAATTAGGCTGTTCCACCTTACTGCAATCATATCCCTGCTAAAAGCCAACAACTTTTCTGATTAGTTTCATATCAAACCTATTAAACAAGGGATGGAGAAAGCACGCAGGAAAGTTCTTTTGTTGTCACACTAGACAAAATATCCTTGAAACCTGGGGAAAATGGCAGAAAAATCTAATTTTATTATCAGCCACCATGATTCAGTGCAGCATCTCAGCCTATGTGTAATCCTAACTATGTGGGTAGCAAGTAGATCTAGAGTTAAAACACGCCTGTATTTTGTTCTAGTGCATGTTCTGAAGTCAAAGTAATAGTAGCAGGAATCCACTTTTAACAAAGGAAAAATAGTGTAACTAGTGTCTTCAGAAAAAAATCAAGACCTTCAACCATGAATGCATAAACCAAGTTTCTACAGAAATCTATGCTCTAGATTTGTAGCAGAGTGGGATGAAATTTAGTATTTTGTTAGGTGGCTCAGCAATCACTGGGAAGAGATGCTACTTCAGCTTCATATATTAATAAAGAAGTTACACCACATAAAGAACTGAAGAAACTTATCTCACAGCCCTGTTGCCAATAAATACTTGTGTTTCTATTCTAAGCATTAAGAAAACTGGAAAAGAGTGCTCTCAATTCTGACAACAGAAATACAGCATTCATTCTTCAGGGCCTGATCCTAGCGGTGGAACTCATCAAGCCAATGACTTTGTGAGAAGCAGGAATCCCAATATGCATTTAAGTCCTTTTTATCGAGTTGTTTAAGCATGAATGAAGCATAAACCATCAAGGAACTGAAGTACTCAGTTGGCTCCTGGGTATTGTGTGCCCTGCCACATCTGTTCAGTAGGAATTTAATTCTCTCCACACAGGTGTTATTAGCACCTTCATCCAAGGCAAAATGCTCTTTCTACATAACCATCCTGTTAAAATCTTCACTTGCTTAAGGATGCTAAATAAAAGCCAAATTCATAAAATTCAAACTTCTGCCAACCCCATCACAACTACACATATTTTTCCACACATGCAGTCAAATAGTTAAAAAAAGTATGCCAAAATAGACACACCAAAATAGTGCTTCATAAGTTCAGCTGCGTGTCAGACCATGACAGCAACCTCTCTGGAAGGCAAACTGAACTTCTGTGACATAGCTCATAAAACAAATCAGATTTGGAGGCAGCTAAGTTATTAACGCAGTCCTACCATCGGAAGGTGGCGAGGCAAACGTAACAGTCACTGTTTCTGTGAGAATGTTCCCACTGTCTGTGGTCCACTGCAGCTGAAAGGAAAAAGATCTCAGTTCTCAGAAAGGGTGCAAGTTTGTCTACTACAGGAACGTAGGCTCAAGGTGGGATCCGTGGGAAAATCATGTCTAAAACTACATTTTCTTATTTTCTTTGTAACTATGCATTTTGGGAGCTCCTGGTTTACGGGAAAAAAAAAAGCCTGTAAAGATTTTTTTTTTAACATGCACTATACCAGGAAGGCTAAAACCTGCTCAGGACAGTTCAAAGACTGGAGCAGCAAATAGTCCAACCATTTGGCTAACTAACACGTATCACCCACTCACCTGGGCAGTGTAGGGAGAGGGAAAAGTCTGATGACACAGCATGATTTAACAGTACAGTTTGTCAAAGCTGATTTTAAATCAGGAATTCCTTAGCAGTCAGCTTCATAACTGGGAAAAATAGGATCACTCTGTATCCCTTATTACACAATAGGTGGAAGAAAATTAAAGAACAACACATAAGAGTTACTGAGCGTTCTGAAGTATACACTGTATGCTTACTTCACTTGCTATAAAGTGCCTTTATTAATATTTACACATTCAAAATGTTGTGCAAGCCCTAATTTAGACTGCACCTGAGACATACTTCATCTTCCTTTTTCAGAAATAGAAAAGTAGTAGTAATTTCTTCAAAACACAGACAATGACAAAGCAATGAATAAAATTTTCTGATGTGTGTCAATTTTTCTATACCACGTGGCTTCCAGTTCATGCAGTCATCATGAAGTGCTAGTATTGTATAATTTGTCAATCAACTAACAGCAATATAATGCTGGTGAGATAAATACCAAATAAGGTCAGAAGGTTTTATTCACATTTAATCCAGTCTTGCTCAGCCAGAGATTCAACTGAAAATATTGCTGCTGGAAATATAAAGTCACAGAGAATTTTGGATGAAATACAGCTAAGTGGTAAAAATTGAAAGTAAGATTTCCAGTATTTAACTCCAAAAACCAAAAAGAAACACAAAAGCCAACGTACCATTGCTGGGATACTTTCTGAATTATACACCATCTCGCCATTCCTCAGGGACTTCTGCACTTCATGAATGTGGTTCTTGATGTCATTCACAGTGGGGAAGAAGGACAGGTTATGTCTTTCCGGCACTTCATCAGGCTTGAATAATTCTCTTTCCACATACTTCCTGTCATATGTTAAAGGACATTAAAATATGCATATTTAAAATATATTGTGCTATTTCCCTCTGTTCTAGGCACTGCTACCTTCTCCCTCCCCTTGTTGCAATGACAAGACAAGAGCAAGCTAGAAGATCTTCTGACCCAGTTCTTTGTGCATCTGCTACAGAGTTTGGAATTACAAATCCCCATTTATTCAACTAACTTCAAAGTGAGCAGCAGCTCTTAATGGCTATCGACAACGAAACGGAAACAGAAGACAACAGCTGGGAAAAAACATTCTCATGACTTATGGGAAATGCATTCAGTAATGCATCAGCACTGCCATTTAGTTGCAAACCAAATTAATCAAAAGCAAAAGTAGATATAGCACTACAGACTGAGAGCATGCGAGACATTTCTGTACCTTAGTTGCTTCCTCACTGCATAGACCTGCTCTATTCCCTGAGACACCAGTTCTCGGATCTTGTCTGCCACTTGAGGATGAAGTCGGGAAGGCAGAGTACAGTTCTCATTTCTAACAACTTCCTCCTCCTCCTCAGGAGAAGACACAGAAAAATGTGAGGGTGAAGAAGGGAGGCAGGAAGCTTCCATTTCATGATATTGATGGGCTTGCTGAGTGGGTAACTGTACATACCACCTGGCAAGGAGGAAAGAGTTTCTACACACAATTCCCAAGCAAAGCCAAAAAATTAGTCTCTTGAGGGAACAGTCTTAAGTGACTTAAGTTTTTACAGCGCCTGAGTTGGAAGATACTGCCTTTCAGAGCTCAGGGCCCTCTCACATCTTTCAATGCTAAATAAACCAGTTCAATCCCACAAATAATACAACTATTTCTATTTATTCCCTGCATGAAAACATCTGTTGAAGTTCCACAGCTTGGTGCTTAACACATTTACAAAACTGAATACTCCAGAGCCACAGAAGTCTTACTGACATTGTGGGATTTTTTACTATTGATATTAAGCAAGAGCCTTAACAAAGTGACTAAGTAAAAAAAGATAAAGCAAACCATGCAAATACTCTTTTTTGCTTCATTTGTCAAGATAAAGAAAAAAGTGGAAGTTTCACCTGAGGACACCACCAGCATCTATCAAGTTCTTCTTCAGCATGTTGAATGCTTTCTCCTGCTCCATTCTTATGATTTTCTTGTCAATTTTAGGGTCAGTAGGAACTCTGTATTCCGGAAACTTTTGAACCTTTTTAATATAAATTCTTCCATGGGAGGGTGGAGTGGTATAAAATAACAATAATAAAAAAAAAATCTCCTTCAATACACTTTGGTCTTAGAAGGAAGGCAAAAAACCCACCAACTTCATATCAGATATTAGTACAGAAAAAGTTAAGTACACATCAACAGTGATGGATGCAGATAGATACAGACAGACACACTTCTGTTCCAGTCTGGAAGCCACTCAGCCAGGTTTTGCACCTCAGCAAAAAATCCTCTGTCCCTCAGTATAGTAAAAGCATAACACCATTTCTGAACAGGCTGTAGTTCACTCAGCTTGAAGCCAGAATTGAGCACGTACATATCTATCTGCGACTGTCCAGGTAAACACACTCAGCTCACAAAAAACTGAACAAGCACCCAAGGAGGATGCCCAAAGACAAGGAAAACAACTATTAGTGTTGGATAAGGAGAAAGTCCCCAGTGAACAGGAAGAACTGTAACTCCTGCAGCAAAGAGAACGTGCTAAATTAGGATGATTGACTGCTATGAGTGCAATTAAAAGCCTGAATGAAAAACAAAAAAGATGACAAAGTTTTAGGATCAAAAGTGGTCACTAAAGGACAGCACAATAACTAACTAATGCTCAGGCAGAGAATGATTCTCGCTTGTATTTAATATCCTGATGCACTGCTACTTTGCATCCAGGCAACCTATCAGATCTCAGCCTTAATCAGTTTAACAGGAGAGCATTTCCTCCTTCCCTCTAAATAAGTATCAACCTCAAGTTATGAAGAAGATGAAGCTAATAGCTACAGTGCGTACCAGCTACCACCCCCAGACAGAGCTCTGTCAAGCCTCACAGGAAGAACACTTTCTTAGGATGCTGAGTAGCTCTTCCAGCTTTATAGACTATTCTTACCTTGCTGGACAAGTGGCTTTGTACAGATGGCCAGAGGTGCTTTCCTGCTCACCAGCTTTTTTGGGCTGGAACCCTTTCCTCCTTGGACCATATTGGCACTCCATTACAATGGCTCTGCTTCCTGAGAACGGAAAGTATTGCATTCAGTTTACTCAGGCAACCACTGAAGCCGTTGCAGTAAAACAGTAACTACAGAAAGATGAGTTTCAAAACAGTTATTTCTGTTTACCATCAGACTCTTCAAAAGGCAGAACACTTAAGTGTAGCAAGCTAATATGGTGCAAATGCTTCTCTTACAGCATGTTAAGGAACACAGAGCATTCTCAAAGCATTTCCCAAACCTGTTACACCTCACAACATTCCTGCAACATATATGAAGGCAAAATATTGGATTGTGCCCTGGTGAACACCAATACTTTACAAGGTGAGCAGCCTTGCAAGCTACCAAAGGAGCACAATGCTGGTAATAAACAGAAGAGAAATAGAACCTCCAAAATAACTAGAGAAAATCCACAGCTGAAATCAAAGGTCAGCAGTCATTCCCAGCCTCCTGTCTTAAATCAACACTTCAGACCATGCTGGCCCATAAATTCTTACTTGGAAGCCTGACCTATCTTATCTGCCAAGTAACAGTTTTTCAGTGCAGCACACTTGCACAAAACCAGACAGGTTTAAACAAATACTGCTTACCTCTAAATGAGGTAAGCGACCTCTTCCAGTCAGAACTCTAACAAAAGGGGTAACAGGCATAGCACTGAAGTGGTCAAGAAATTAACTTCTTCCAAATATCTTCCACATGAAGTTCAGTTATCTTTTATTTATAATTTATATACTCCAGTATACAGATAAGGAGCTGCCTACACCACACGTCATATAACCAAACCCTTTTTAAGTATCACAACAGCAACACAATGTGTTTCCGTAACATAGACAATGATTTATTGCCTTAGACTGTGACATGAAAAAATAAAAAATAATTTAAAAAAATTTAATAATCAATGCAAACAAAGAAATGGGAAATTTAAAAGATAATTATGTATTAAAAATAGGTATATTGTCTCTTTTTAAAAAACAAACTTAAAATCAAAGTTCTAGGATTGAAAAGATTTCAACAGCTTTAAACTAGTCCTTGCTAATATGAATCTCAAAAGCAATTTGGTGGGGCCCTTGTTTTACAGAAGCATCAACTATCTAAAATTCTTACCAAAAATAACAACTAAGATTTTGATGATTAGTGTATGTTTTACGCTATATGAAGCTACCCAGCTTCTCTATATTTCCCCACAGCTGCAGCACAGCAGGGAAAGTATTACAGATTGGTTCCACTTATGCAGAAGAAAGAAATTCCTTGAGAACAACACTTCTGTCCTGCACAGTTTAGAATTCAGTAATCTGGGATTTAAACTGTAGATCAGGAAATCATTACAGCCTCTGCTCTACAGGTGTAACGGATTTTAATGAATGCTTTTCATAGAAGAGTTATAAACTAAACCTGAATATACTGGAAAGGCAACACGTTAGAAATATACATAGTGCCTGTTCGGGGGTCTGAGCAAAGTAAAAAATACTACAACTTAATAATCCGAGTCTCTATTAACCTATAACACTTCTAAAGAAAAAAAAAAAAAAACAACCCAAAAAAACTATGTGTATTTTTGCTCTAAATATCTTACTGTGGGGCAACTCATTTATCAGGCAGATCTCACAAGAAACTAAATATGTCCCATATGCATTTTGGGGAAAAAATAAGTGTGTAAGTTGTTTTGGCAATGTTCTTACCTTTCTTCTACCTCATAGTTTATGGCTGAAGCTTTAAAACTGGTGCTAACATTTCACTTTTTCAGTTACTTTCAGAAAAAAAACCAAAACACAGGCACATAACCTACATTCCAGTCGTTCATGATCTCTATGTAACAATTAAAACCTGTTAGTTCCATATCCAAATGAATTTAGTAATTTCACATATGCATTGCATGAGTTAAATATGTAATTACCAACCTGCAAAGTTTGCACACCCATTTAAAAAAAAAAAAAATCTGTCTGCTGAGTTGTTTGCTGTTGATGGTTATTTTGCTTTTAAAATTAATTTAATTTTTTAAAGGGTGCCATTTAAATAGTTTATTGGCTCCTGTGGAACAGACTCTTCAAAGGATCTCCAAGCTAGGCAAGAATACTCGAACAAGCTCTTACCCTTCTGAGAACCTTCACGTCCTGATACAGCAGATGGTGCCTCCATCTAAAGATCTCATCACAAGAACCCCCATCAAATTGTACTTAACTAATTTATTTCTAAAGAACAAAAGGAAATAATCACAACAAAACACAAGCCTGTGGTCTTAGGGAAATAAGCTCCTTCAGACTGTGTCACAGAGGTGCCCAGGCTGCTCTTTTTTTATGTTTGTGCCTTGACTTTATCAACACTAAGGAACACCAAAAAGATCCTTCTTTACAGCCAGATGGCTACTGATGTTGAAATTTTGAAAGCAGTTATTAAAATAAAAGTTAGTTACCTGCATTGACAAAGGGGATCCCATCATATGGGACATACTGAGATTTCCACATCAACCGTGTGGCGGGTTTGGCTGGGCTTGGAGACTGGCGTGTCCCCCACACACTTTGTGTTTGCTGCTTGTGTAGCGTTAGAACGCTCTCTAATTCTGTCTCGCTGACACAATAGCCGCGGTACGAGTCCCCAATTTTCTGCATGGAAAGGAGGTGAAATAATAGGATTATTCACCCAGCTGACTGCTGAACATTACACAAGAAAACGAATGCAGTCAGGGACTCTGGCAGGTGAGGACACAGGCCCAGAGTTTTGGTGCTTTGTGTTTTTTTTCCCCACACTGGTATCCTCAGAAATAGATTTACCATAGGATCTAACACCAGAGCAGTCCCCACTGCGGTCAGGAGTTTGTCAGCCCTCTAAGACCCTAAGTACACCAAGAACCCCTGAAAAGATTATAGTTACTGTCAACTCTGATTTCCATAGGACAACTTCACTCCTGTCGTTTCCCCCAACACACACTTCAGTTGCAGTCACCTCCTAGACAAATTCATCTTAGGTGAACATTTTCACCTGACTCCCGCATAGAATCCCTGAAGCTCTAAGAATTGTCTGTGCATCTGCTTCAACACATATGTGCTAAGCTGGAGGAGAAAACACCTGCTTGTGCCACCAGTAACTGTCTCACCCACTTAGTGCACTAACTTTGAACTGAATGTCGCACTTAATACCCCTCCCAATCTTCAAGGCACTCTTGATTCTCAACATTACATAGAAAAATAATATACTAGATTTGATGTGTAAACATGAAATCTGCTAAGCTCTGGGCAACTCCAGAAAAACTGCATCTAACCTGATTTGAAATTAAAAAAAACAACAAAAAACCCCCTAAAAAAACCACAAACAACTTGCTGACTTTGCAACATCCCCTGTGACAGCTGTTCAGCTACTCAAGAGCCATCACAGCTGGTTCAGTGCCAGTCTACCAGGGACAGCCAGCAAACAGCAAAAGCAGTGGGACAGAGAAGAGCTTTTCATCCAAATTCAGAATGCCATGCTCCTTCTGTTCATATGCAGCTCAGGATCAGGCTGACCAAGCAGCTAGAAGTAACACCCAGAGTAGTCTGTCAGCTCAGTCGTACAGCCTATCTGTGTGGCAAATGCATGGGGCATGAGTACTGAAGTCCAATGGATCCATTTTGCCACCTTCAATGACAGGTAGGCAGATGTTCAAATAACACTGATAACAAAAGCAGTAACAGTGTCTCTCCAAGACCATTATCTCACAAACACTTCAGTGACAACTGCACAAAACCTGCCTCACAGACACCTAAATGAAACAAAATCTCTGTGATTAGCAAGACCTGAAGTCAACAAAGAACAAATTAACACCTTGTGAATGAACTGGGCCAGCACGGTGCTGCTGCTAGCCAAGCCCAAAAGCAGAGGGTTACTATGCACTGGCTGCATGAATCATTCTGAGATACCACCTGTTTACACTTCAGCAGCTCTGCACTGCAAGCACACTGCTCCAGCAGTTAAGAAAGTCTACATAGGCTGTACTCACACAGCTGTGGTGAGGAAGAGAAGCTGGCAATTGTTTAGCCAGAAATTATAAATAACATTGCTGTCCAAAATTTAATCTGAAAAATCCAGGAGAAGCAAATTAGCCTGAGAAGTACCTTCTTTACAGAAATCTGCGATGCTTCCTTTCACAAGAGGGATCGCAGTACTACCCCACACAGTGAATACTGTGACACCAGCATTTTTCTTTCCATATCTTATAACTGTCACTACAAATAGGTCATTGACCTGATTCTAGGGAGGTGAGAAGACTGATAAAACTGCTGTGCCAGAAAAGTAGCAATAACTGTTAAGGCACTGTCTCCTATTCCGGCTTTACTTCTGCACAAGATAGATCATTTTCCCAAAACTGATGGGGAGGGAGGAGGAAAAGAAAATCATATAGCAATAGGATCCCTACCCTCTAGGAGCTTCCCAAGTAGGAACAAATGAGACCATCTGCTCCACACAAATGAATTAATTTGGCTCTGTACAGTTGATTAATTAATGCCATTTTTAATTACACTCTATTTCAGTATGCTGATACATGCTGGAAATGCATTCCAATCAGACCAATGAAAACTGAGCAGGTTATAGAAAATAATAAAAAGTGGATTTAAAAAAAATAGTTAACACTGTAATTACTCTAAAGTAATCAGATACTCTCCAACCCTTTAACTTCAGTCAAGCTTCAAGCCAAACAAAGGAGCAATTCCTTTCCTCCCCCCAGCCTCATCTCAGCAAGGGTACATAAAAGCTTACACTGAAGTACACACATCAAGACTGCAGTTCTCCTTGGATGAACTAACAGCAGCAGGATACCAGAGGCATTACACTGCCTCGGCACAGCAAGCGTAAGCCGAACACTTCGAGGCAGTCAGGGAATCAACACCAAACACAGAGCTTAGCGCTAATTTTGGACAGCTGCAGCTTTTCCTGCTCTGTGTTTGCATGCAGTACTAACTGCCAAAGGAGTCACTGCCCTTGGGAGTTCAGTCTTGGCTAGCTCCCTGGGATAGACAATTGGCAGCACATATGGAGGCTGTGCCACGGCTTCACCTGCCGGCATCTTCTGTGAAATTCACACAGACCTTGTTTCTATTCTGGCAAGTGACTGAAAAAGTAGCATTGTGAGTTGCCATATTTATCTGTACCTGTACTAGGCCTTCAAATTCCAGTAGGACCCTTCAATCCTGTTACTAGTAACAAAACATTTTGCAAGACAGTCACACCTGAAAAATAAATGACGCCTCAAAATCCCATTATCTCTAGTCTGTGCCCATGAAAAGGCACATGCATCCTAGCTGTCTCCAGTGGATTTACACTGTGTAACTGACAAACTTGGCACAGTAACTCTGCTGATAACACACAAGGAGGAAGAAAATTCGGGTTATTCCTTCTTGCATGGGCTGACTCTGCAGGGAGAATAGCAACTTTTTTGTTGTTTAAAGGAACAGGGAGGATTAACACATACAGGCCATAGTTCTGCTGAAGAGCAGGGCAAATGTTTATATCCTCAGAACACATTCAAACAGAAAATATTTTAATTTAATTTTCTTTAAAAATAAGAACTCTTCTATAAATACTACTGCTGTGAATTTTAAACACAGCAGGTGAAATTTCTTGTAATAGACTGTATGCATGTAATAGACTGTATGCATGTAATAGACCATGCAGACCATAATACAAGTCCTCCTATAAAATGAAACCAATAATAAATGATTCAGATAAGCTACATCAATGTTAAGACAGGAATGTATGTACCACATAGTGCTAAAAACACAGTAATAAGGGTTATACATCTGACTGGACTTTAACAACTAACTGGCCATTTGAATTAAGTGACTTATTCTGTGAACAGTATCTCCACCATGGAAGAATTTGTGTTACTAATTTTCTGACCTCTTAATATTTACCTGGATATAACAGTGGACAGTACCACCTGTATAAAATAAAAGGCATATAACAAAGAGGACTAGATTAATATATTTAGTTAATTTAAAAATTACTTCTAACTGTATACAGCAAAATTAAATTTCTAAGTCCCTGCAACTTCAATTTCCAGTTATCAGTGGCCAAGTCAATAGGAAAAATGGCAAGGATATCTAAAGGCGTGAACCAGCTAGAGGAAATATTAATTTTCCTTTAAAAAAGTATTAAGAGAAAGTAAAATAAACATGTATCAGGGAGAGTTTGGTAGCAGGAGGAAGGGGTAGGTGATCTCTCAAGAATCTTCCCATTTCCCCATCTCAATCAGTGAGAATATCTAAAATAGAAATCCTTAGTAAATAATTGACATTAAGGTGCTCTGATAAGTCCCAGTCTTGACCCTGGAGAGTCACACAGGTTTTGATTTCTAAGTGACAACACAAACTAACATGAACATTTGCAGACTGAGGCCATACAAAGGCACTTTTATTCTTTAATTAATGGATCACTAAGGGCAAAAAAACCAGCTTGCTCAGCAGAAGAGAGCAGAGCTTGCACTGTAGTTCAAGAGTGACCTCTAACAGGGCACAGAATAGCTTTTCCCAGTGCTGCATGGCATTGAGATTTCAGAAGCACATTTTTTGCTTCAGGAGTTGTTAATGGTCAGTTCTGCTAATGGTCTAGTGTTCCCAAAAGGAAGGGATTCCACAGCATTTTATGCCTTTAAATGTGCTAGCAGTACCAGCTAGTACCAGTACTATTTCATAATACCAGAAAACTTGAACACCATTTCTACAGCTATGAACGTTATTGCTTTCATGGAAATGGATCAGCAGATGATAAAACCTGAAGTCAGAATTCTTTGCAGCCCACCTCACAACTCCTGAGACAGTGCGCCCATGCAGGTGTATTTGGTGGCAATGGCTGGAGAGGGATGGGAAAGGGATCTTCCACCACCCTGAAAAACAAACAAAAGAAAAGTAAAAATCTATGCAGACAATTTAGTCTAAACTACAGGTAACATATCAAATCAGTGCATTAAGTATAACCCTACAGCATATGATCAAACTATAGATATTGTATCAACTTGCCCTAAAAACCTGGGGTTCATATTCCCCATATTCTATTTCAATGTTAAAATAATTCACAGTAAATATAAGTATTTAAAAAACCCACTGTTTTCTACATTTAAGAAGACCTCCAAGCATTCAGTATTGTTGCTGGACAACAAGAGACAAAATATGGTGCAATAGACTAGCTGATTGTCTTGACAATTTTTTTATGCAGACTGATGGTAGGATGCTACAGATTAAAATCAATACCAAACACTTGTTAAATGCTGCACGTTTTAGTCTATTTTTAAATTACTAAGAAGCAGCTCCAATAACTACTTTAGGTATCTGGTTTCTTCATTCCCTCAATCCTGGGGTAGAAACAACACTTACTCAATGTTTATTATTCTAAAACTTGAGTGTATCACCTCCTGTCCATACAAGTATGTCTCCTTTCCAGAATTACTTTTTTAACATGTGCAGACTGTGTTCACAAAATCCATTCACAAACTCTTTCTTTTAATTATAAATGTTTCTTGAATATACATAACTTGTGCTCTAGTGAAATTATTCTAATCTCTTCCATGTCTCAATTTCCAAAAAGCACAAACCAATGCAAAGACACGCTGCAGTCCACAGAACAAATGTAATTTTTGGCTTTTTGTTGTTGTTATTGTTTGGTTTGGAGGTTGTTTTTTTTTTTTTTTTAAGCAAAAAAGAATCCCAGAGTATTCAGGAATTAAAATAGGCATCATTTGGCAGGGGAACAGAATCAGATGGATATCAAGAGAAGAAAAACATAAGTATTTTAACTTCAGAAGCTTTGTTAACCAATCTGCCTGTCTACATGTTCCACCAAAACACACTGTTAGCAGCTACTTCCTTATATTTTATCAAAGGAAGCTGAAGAAGTTATCCAGAGAACACAGATTAGACACTCCTTGTTAATGCCAACTACTGAAATCTGTATCTAAAAAATTCATCTCTACAATCAACCCTTCTTGTCATAGAATCACAGAATGGTTTGGGTTGGAAGGGACGTTCAAAGGCCATCTAGTCCAACCCCCCAGCAGTGAGCAGAGACATCTTCAACCAGATCAGGTTGATCAGAGCCCAGTCCAACCTGACCTTGAATGCTTCCAGGGATGGGGCTTCTACCACCTCTCTGGGCAACCTGTGCCAGTGTTTCACCACTTTCATTGTAAAAAATGTCTTCTAGTCTAAACCTCCCCTTTTTTAGTTTAAAACCATTTCCCTCTGTCTTATCACTACAGGCCCTGCTAAAAGGTTTGTTCCTAACTTTCTTATAGGCCCCCTTTCAAGTACTGAAAGGCTGCAATAAGGTCTCTCTGGAGCCTTCTCTTCTCCAGGCTGAACAGCCCCAACTCTCTCAGCCTTTCCTCATAGGAGAGGTGTTCCAGCCCTCTGATCATTTTTGCAGCCCTTCTCTGGACCTCCTCCAACAGGTCCATGTCTTTCCTGTGCTGAGGACTCCAGAGCTGGACACAGTACTGCTGGGGGGGTCTCACCAGAGCAGAGCAGAGGGGCAGAATCACCTCCTTCAACCTGCTGGCCACGCCACGCTTTGTTTGATGCAGCCCAGGATACACTGGGAGGATGGTTTATATAGGTTTTAACATACTCATACAAGAAACTCTGCTCCCTCAAACTTCAACTTTCCCTGTGGTTCCTTCACTGGATCACTTTCAATTCTTGCTTGGCGGTATCAGTGCCTATTTGCAGTGATTTCAGTAATTCACACTGTGCTACTTTAAATGCCCACCTACTGCTCTGGTCAGAATATATCCAACTATCTCTGGAATAGAGGTACTTTAACTGCTTTTTCCCCACTGCTCTGGCACATACAAAAACTGCCTGCAAACACAGTTACCCACCATTCACTAATACTAAGGGTTCATAACCTCCATGCTGTGGTAATTTTGTGATAACCATTGCAAAAACAAACTGCAAGGAAAAAAGGCAGTACTAACAGGGGATTAAAGAGATTGTTCATCCTTTTAACTCCTGCCTACCTGGTTGTTGGTTTTTTTGATATGCTGAGAGATGCCTGTGGATGTAGAATGTAACTGCTTGCACTGTCTGCTATAGCAGCCACCGCCACAGTCTGCAAGTTCCCATCATCACACTTCTCTTCCGAAACATCTTTGCAAAAATAAAACATTCTCCTGGTTAATAACTGAACTCAGAAGGAGGAAATTACAAGCTATAATTAAATGTTGTGTGTTGGGAAAGCAAGGACTTTGACATATGAAATCAGATTCATTCCACTAGAAAGTCTGTGCCAGATGATTCATAAGTGTGCACCCCAGAGTAACACCCCGAGCACTGGTTCCTTCTACACAGACGTGCCCTTAAGACACTAAGGTCAGCTCTGAAGCCTGTGCCACTTCACACATTGCCACCACCTGCAGCAAGTGAAACTCAAGGGCTGACAGTTCGTTCTTGCCCTTTAATCTCCATAGTAAACCACTGACAAGTCTTCCTAACTGTATTTTAAAGATCAAATAACTACAGAAAAAATCTCTAGAAAGGAAAAAAAACACCAAACAAACAAAAAAACAAGCCACAAAAAAACTCTGTAGCACTGTTGCAGAACATACATTCAAATGCTGTGAAGCAACACTATTTGCAAACAGGAAGCTCCATTTAGCATGAAAAATGGGAATATAAAAATACTATGCAGCATTGGAACTTACTGACTACAAAAAGTAGCAGCAATTCTTTAGTAACTGAGGGCTCACAGTCAGCTTAATATATTTTATTTATGTATTTATGTGATTACAGAGTAATCACATAAGATTATACTGTAACCAAACAGTAATCTTACCCCTGCAAGAGCAGGTGGAGCGGGAAGGAAGGATGAGCAGTAGGGTAGGAGCAAGCCTGCATCATGACTTGAATCCCAACTCTTTTTTCTATCCACCCAGCAACAGGACTCCAGCCTTCTCTTTGAGCTCTCATTGCACAGGAGCACTGAACTAGCACTCAGATTTTGAGAATTTGTTCAGATTTTGTGAATTTTATACAGAAAATAAAAGAACAGCTGAATACACCTTGGAGAGTCTAACAAAATGTGACAACCTAGTTCTCAGTCTTACTCTGTGAATGTAAACTAATACACAGCATTTTGCCACCCAGCAAGGCTTGTGGATAAATAATCAATGCTTTCAGATTTCAGTACTTCCTGTTTCTAGAGAAAAGCTTAAAATTTGCACTTCTTCTACTTTTGCATCTCATCACATACTTAAAATGTGACATTTAACACACTGATGGGAAAAAAACTTGGCAACAAAGTGAAAGTTACATCTTTCACATGTAAGTGAATTAACTAATTCACTCAAAATGAAGTAAACAGTGAAAATTTGAAGCTGACAGTACAGCTGACTTGGCACAAATATCCTTATTAATGGTAAATAGGCAAGAAGCAGTTTTGTGCTCGATACCTCAATCTATCCATCACATATCTAAAGGGAGCATAATAGCTCTTATTTCATAAGCCCAACAGAAAATGTGGTGTGTGGGATACCAGATTCATCATCAGAAAGCAGATTCAGTAAGTATTTTTGTCTTATAACTGAGGAAGGGAAACACATATAAATAAAGTGCTCAAAAAGAGATCACACAGGATGTGCTTAGTCACAGGAACCCACACTCTCAAGTCCCACAGGTTAAACTCACCTTGCGTGCTCGTCACATCCAGAAGTTGACCCTGAGGGATAATCACTTGGGCCATTCCTGGCTGGGCAGAAGGAATGACATGCAGCACCTGTCCATTTTCTGACTGGCTGGCAACAATCATCTGTAAGGCAATCGCAGAAAAACGAATGGCACTAGTCTGTATGGTGATCCTTATGCAGCACAGGAAACATTTTTGTTGGAATTAGGGCCTGTAAATTAACTTGATTTCACATAATAAGGAAACTGCCTATTTACTGTTGATTTCTTAAAATTACTTTCCCCATTTTAAAATAGTACTTTAAATTATTAAAGGAGAGAAAAAACCAAAACAAAACAGACAGCTTATAGGATTCTACAATGAATTACACATTTACTTGAAACTTACAACACTACTATTAAAGCTATCAAAAACCTGAAAGCCATTCACAGCTGGAGTCGCTGTAATGCCATTCATTGACTAGCAGAATTAATCACAACGTGCAAGAATTTTGACCTTTACTCCTAAGAAACTGATCTCTATGGGCAACATTTTATGCAAAAGCAAAGAGAAGAAAAGCTCCAGGATTTTTAAAAAAAGTACAAATTAAATCTTCTAGAATTCTGGAAAACCTAAACAACTCCTTATGGTAAATTTTCCCATAATCACCACCAAGGACTTGCTCCCAACAATGTTATAAAACCTAGAACAACATAAAATATCATCTTGTTTCTGATTTATTACACTTTAAACAGGTGAGGTGCCTTTAGTGACAATACAATACACACCAACCAAACCCTCTGGGTGAGGGTTACCTTTTCACAAAATAAGTGTTAAGAATTACAAAGAGAAGTTCTAAGCAAATTAATTGGGGAAGGAAGAATAGTTAGTTTACATAACATAATGGGTTAGCTTATTGCTGATGTTCCAATCCCCCCAGAAAAACACACAGAGACTTATCCAGGGAACACAGAGAAAGCAGCAGTGGTAGAAGTATGAGATCTCATCATGCAGTAACATCCAGGCTTGATAATGACTAATTTGTTTAATAAAATTAGTAATGGCTGGAGACAGGATTTGCCTACCTGAGCCAGGACAACTGCAGCATGAACTGAACCACTGAAAAGTTTCACCTTGTCGCTAGAGACGAAGTCTGAATCAGCTGTTGCTACAACAAGCACCACATAACAGAGTTCTTCAAAGAGATCCCTTGTCTGTGAACACACCACCTGCCCTGTTTCAGGCGCACTCACCATCTGTGCACTGGGCCCTCCTAGGGGCTGCAGCTCATAGAGAGGCTGCCCAGTTTGGTCTACCAGGTGGAAATCCTCTGCAGAGTGAGGCTGTGGTTGGGGAGGCCGCGCGGGCACAGCAGATGATGGAGAACTGCCCGAGAGGCGTACTGCGATGGGCAAGGCTGCGAAAGAGTCACTCTGTCCAAACAATGGATCCCTGGAATCCATGCAGGTTAGATGCTTTCACAGAGGAAAAACAGTAAAATGTACTTTAATCTTGAGTAGCAATTTCTATTAAAAAAAAAAAGGAAAAAAAAGTAAAGAACATTTAAAACCAGTGTGCTGTACTGTCTACTCAGAGGGAGCTCTTGTCCTTCTGATCAAGAGGCTACTAGCTAACATTAGCAGTTCTATTTCTGTCTTCCACTTCCATGCTGAAAACGTATTCATATTTCTGCTTCCTAGAACAAACTCTCTCTACTAAGGGGAAAGAAAACACCTTGTGCTGAAAATCTGTTCCCCAAAACCACTCACCACTTTAAAACATCTCAAGTCTACCCAGAAACTGAGAGAACTTATACCAAAAAAAACAACCCTGCAAAACAACCACCAGCTTGATCTGACTTCAAAAGAAATCCTAGATACTATTCTACTCAGCCTTTAGATACATGCATTGAGCTACAAAGACAAAAATCTCTGCACTTTTCTTCATTCTTTAACAGAGAAGAAACAGAAAATCACCAATTCAAGTCCAAGAATTATATGGTGCAAGACCAAGAATCAGATTTTGCAAGTCTCCAAAAACAGGTACTCAGAGCTTATTCTCATCAAGTTCGCAGAATCAAGTTCTTACAGCACATCCCATTTTCATTAAATTTAACTGTTTAAGCACTGTCTTGTTGAAACACTGACAACAAGTATTAAAAATGTAAAAATAACGGAAAATAAGCAGCCCATGTGTAAAATATCATGTCAGGCTGTTACTTGGCCGACGCAAGAAGAAGTGCAATTTGTTTTATCTCCTGCAGCAATCACAGAAACAACTCTGATGTTTCTGCTACAAAAAAAAAAATTTAAACTACAAATCCAAAGAGCAGGGAAAAATGTTTCTAAATTTTACATTCAAGTCAGACCTGGGCTAAACAACCTTCTCAAAAATTCTGCAGGTATAAAACTTCCGTACTGAAACTGTCTACTGTGAACTACACCAGAAAATCAGCAATAAATAAATGGCACAGTTGTGTTAAAGACATTGTGTAAAGACCATAAGCACACTGCTAAATCACTACCTGAATGATATTTTATGTTAGCTGAAGTAATCTGCAAATGAACAATTATGCACAGAAACCTCTCTGACTAGGAATATCTGGCAATATTTGATAATAAATACGTTAAAGACTCTCTTTCCCCAATACCTACACAGATGTCCCGTGTCCCTGGATTCTTATTTCCCACATTTGATCACTAAGCAACTTGACCTGATTTTCAAGTGTTCTGAACCCCTCCTACTCCAAGGCATGTCATCAAGTGTTCTTTTATTAAAGGATTTTGTTAACACAATAAAACATGTATTTCTTCAGCACTATAACAAGATCTATTAACATAATTACTAAAGGTTGTTATTGCACGTAACATCTGGATATTCACCAGTTCAAAACTGAATGGCACAAAAATCCAAGGGAAGGAACTTCTGTACTTTTTTAAAAGACACAATGTATTACTACAAAGACAAGGAAAAAAAACATTGATTAAATAGAACACTGTAAATTAATCAGAGAGGATGTAAAGAAAGCATCTACAAAGATAGGACACTGATACCTCACCTGAAAAAAACGATCATCTGTTTCTGACTCTCCTGTACTATTACAGTTGCCTATGAACAAATCATTAGATCCTTCCACAGCAATGTCATGGTCAGCTCCATTTTTTTCCATTACAAGATGATCTGAAAAAGTCACAAAAGTTTACTTCAGCCTTCCGTACTTTAGCCTCAACCAAGGCACTGCTGAAGGTTTTTTTTTGGTCTCAGAAATTTAGTCTTGCAACTTCTAACATTGTTGCAAGCTAACAGCAAAGCCCTCAAGAAATCCTTGCCTGTTTATCACTTTATTACTCACAGCAGAAAAATTTCAGTGTGTTGTTCCAGGAGCAATTTAGTCTCTTGTATAAGACAATTTGCTTGACTTGTCATTGCACACAGAGATACAAAACACACATACACACTCTTACGATTTTCATCTAAATATGTCCACAAGCACTCAACTAACAATCATACACATCTAGAGAACACTTGATATTTAAAGATATGCCAGCATTACTTTACAAAAATATTAATCATCTACTTCCACAATCAACAGACAGGATTTGCAGTACCCAACTCTGTCATGCAGCCACCTTACAGTAAATTACATTTATTTTAAAGGGTTATTAAACAACATATAAAGGAAAGAAACCATCTATTGTTAGTCCACAACAGTAAGCTTTGGGCAGGAAAAACAACAGATAGCCAAATCAAAATTTGGCATGAATCATGTGATGAAAGACAAAAAGACAGAGCTCCTGGCACTTTAGAGATCTACCTCCTAGCCCAAAGAAAAGTACTTCAAGGAGCTCAGCTGCCTACTATAAACCTCCGAGCAAACAGATAATATCAACAGTGAATTGCCACATCCACAGGACAAGGCTTTCACCCAGACAGCACACCCTTTCAAATAGTGACCAATCCCAAATATTCATAACCAACGGTACAAAATGACAAATTCACTCGGCCCCTAGCTGCCAGAGTACACACACACTACGCTCCACACATCATATGCCAAACTGAATATAAGAAAAACTAATTTCTGCAGTTTGGGGTGAGGGAGGGGGAAAGGTGTTGAGGATTTTTTCCCTTCAGGATTTATTTTAAAGACAGGCAGTGCTATATTAGCACATGACTCCTACCAGCTTTATCTTCTTCACCACACCACATAGTAAATTCCTTGAGATAGGCCTTCTTGGCTGTGGTATTTCAACTGTTTATAGCTTTAGTAAAGAGAATGTAAAAGGCTAGACAGTCTCTTGAAAAGAACTGTACAACCCTGGAAGCACAAATTTATTTTGCTTTCCAAAGATATAAAGGACCACAGGCAAAGTAAATCCACATCTCCTTGGCTTCTGAAGCTGAATAAAGCATCCTGCTGATACAAACAACATTGTGAAGTTAAGCTGCTCATATGCTCAATATACTAAATACTTTAATCTAAAGCAGATTTATTTTTCCATTCAATTTTCAAGTGATGACACTCCAAACCAAGTTCCAAATGAAGTTACATCACGTTTACCAAATATTCTGTGGCTTTGGGTCTGAGAACAATTATGAGATGTTTCAGTTAAAATGTCTGAAGCATGTCAGCAGCAAATGAAAAAAAAAGAAAAAAAAAAAGAAAAAATTTCATCATCACTCAACCATTTCCCCTCAGTTAAAAGACATAAAGAAGATAAGTCAGTTTTGCCGAAGCAGCACATTTAATCCCTTGAGAGAAACTAAGTAAGTTTGTTCCAGAGATACCAATGGTGTGTACCCTGAATATGCTGGAACTCAACTACAGAACACAAGGATGGTTCTATTGTGATGGATCAATGGCCCAAGTAGCCCAATATCCTGTATCTAACATTGGTCAATAATAAAGTTCAGGGGAAAAAAATGACCGCAGTAGGGTAAATATACAGTGATATGTATCCAGTTTCCTCTTATAAGCAGCCCAGAAATATCTGAAGTTTTATCTTTGTGTTTGAAAAATGCCCTTGGTACATTTTTGCCCTGTGACTTCGCCTAATCACTGTTCAGAGCCAGGCAAACCAGAGGCATGCACATCACCCCAGACAATGAACTTCATGGTTTAACCATAATGCCCTTGGTACATTTTTGCCCTGTGACTTTGCCTAATCACTGTTCAGACCCAGGCAAACCATAGGCACACACATCACCCCAGACCATGAACTTCATGGTTTAACCACCTATGTTTCATTAACCTAAGTGCTGGGCAACCCCAAACCATTTTTTTTTTAATCTTAAAGAAATATACTTTTACAGATACTCACAAGTACACACATAGTTAATAGATTTTACAGTTGTATTGATATTGCTAACAAATTCCCCAAACCAGACAGTTAACTCCTGTGCACGTATATGTATGGATGGATGGATATTTTGTCATGAATGAGTAAATAACATACAAGTATCTTATTTACATAAACACTTTACATAAGTGCCATAAAAATTCCCAATGTAATATCACTATATCCCACATTTAACAATGGGTTGAAGGAGAAATGTGCAAGTTTAATGTAAGTGGAAAACAGGATCAACAGCTGTATCCTCAGTGCACACAGGCAGCTCTCCATGCTCCAGCTTTAGCTCTAATGCAGCTCCACCCAAACCACTCTACAGGCTGCTCTCTGTGAAGTCCACCACTCCAAGGCCATTTCCAACTCAAGGGTCAGCATATCTTAATGCCACAGGACTGCCTCCTTCGCCCTGCCTCCATTTGGGAAGCACTTTGCTCAAAATAAAGGGAAATCTGTGGCCATTGCTATCCTTGGTTCAAGTCTACAAAGACAGCAAGCAGCCACAGAAGCTGCTAGTGCAGGCAAACATGATAAACCATTATGAGCAATTTACACAGGGTCTTACAGACAGGATCTTCCAGAGAGCAAACACTGTGCACTGCAATCTAGCCCACACATTACCATCAGGGGTTTAGTTCCAGACAAACACACTGATAGTCTGAGATTGTTTAGTAAAACACAAAAGGTAGTCAGATCTCCATCTATTTACCCATCAAGAGCTCCCATGATATCACAGCTGTCAAAGCCGGGGGTATCTCCTGTAGGTTCTCACTGACTGTCATGCACAGACACAGCTTGTATAACACCAGGTACTCCCAACAGGAACAGGATTTCAATGTCCACTCTGAGATAAACCTTTCTCGTAACAGTTTCAATCTCCTCTCTAATCCAGAAGCCCACATACTGATTCTTAATACATAAACCTTTAAAGACACTAACAGAAAAGTCAAACTAGCAGTACTTTAAAAGCCTATTATTGACCAGCCACACCTCTGCCCTGTCTTAATACTGACACCTACTACAAGCAGTGGTCCCTAAAAATACACCTGTTCTAGACTGATATAATTTTAAGACCTCGTATGAATGCTTGCTTCTGCCTTTCCTCAGTTACAAGGTCTCCTCGTGAAGGTAACACGCAGCCAGATCCCAAAGGGAAGTGCTGCCTTCCAAAATCCCAGAGCTAATTATTTTAACACTGAGTCAATATTGCAAGATTTTAGTCATAGGAAGAAACTTAAACTGTAAAAAACAGGTAAGTCTGTTGTGATAATAAGCACATTCTACCTAGTCAGGGCAGGAAGGACAGAATTCTCTTACATTTTTCAAGCTTCAAGTCTTCAATGCATATGCATTAAAAAAAAAAAAAATGAAAGCTTGACAGTGCAAGTTTGTTTACAGCACTTCTGAGAGCAGTATTCTCCATTCAGTTTCAATTTATACTTCTTGACAGGATGCATATGCATTATAATGCCTCACCAACTATCTTTTTTGGGTTTTCCATTAAATGTTTCAGAGATTTTATAAAAAGATTTAAGATAATTGTATAGCTTATGAGAATTAAACACTCTCTCTGAAAAAGCTACCTCTGACAACGCTTCTCTACCACCAGTACGAAGGGTACAAATTGCAGTAAAACATATCCTCAAGTAAATGAGTTACAATTAGCTTTACATTAACTCATACCGGGTTTGAGATTTAGCTTCTCTCTGCCACGAAGAGTCGGCAGATGCTGTTAAGAATGCACAGAAGATCTGGGGACTCCTATTTCAAAAGTTTCTCAAGTTGCTTTTTTGTAGTTAACACAAGTATCTGGAAAACACATCCGTGCCAATTTCGCTGACAAACAAGGTTAGATCTTTTAAGTGCGCTTAAGAAACAGAAGAGATTTCAGAGTCCCACAAAACATCAAGATTCACCACCTGCTGCCAACAGTCCAACCGGCCGCCCCAACCCGAGCGGCCAGGCAGGGAACGCTGGGCTGCTCCCCGAGAGCCACGGCTAACTGCCGAACAGGCGGGGACAACACAGCGACAGCAAGCGCACGGCGGTACCCACACAACCAGCCTCCTCCCAAACCCGCAAGTTCTCTCACGGCTTCGCTGAGAGACCACTGCGTGCCGGGTTCGTTACCCGCACCAGGCGGCTTCCTGCTGCTGGGCCACCCCACG